ATTTCCTCCTCGAGATCCTCTCTTTCCTTCCTGTACAACTCACACTCCCCAACTATGTGGGGTCTACTCTCCTCCGATTTGCCACATGGACATGTGTGTCTATCCTCCTCTTCCTCCCTCCTACGGCTGGTATACCTCTTCCTCCGTTCTGGCAAGTCCAGATCGCCTACTCGAAATTGCAATTTCAGCTTTTTCGCATAGTCCATGGGGCCGTCCAAGTACTTCTTCATCCCTATCCCTTCTTTCAACTTCCCGTATATCTCCAAGTGGTCTTCGCTTCGTACCTTCTTCCGAAGGGTTGCCTCCTCCCTACTCTCTAGCATCTCCTTGACTTTCGTCTTGAACCCCCCGAACCCTTCCGTGTCCAACGTCTCCTCCTCGTCTCCTATCTCCTTCCAAACCTTCTCTACCACCTTGTCCCATCTGATTCCCTTCTTCCCTGGAGTCGCTTTTCCCCAAGCTGCCTCGTCAACCATGGCTGGTAGTCTATCGTCCGACATTCTACTTACCTTGTACTGCCAATTCAACTTCTGCATGTCTCTCTTTGTTTTAACAGAGTACATTCCCAATTCTGCTCTCAATACAGTGTTGCTCGTTGTACTTGAACATCCTAATATTTTCTTGGCCGCTGCCATCTGCACCGTTTCCAGCTGCTTGACGGCCTTTTCGTTACCTTCCCATATCTCTCCTGCATATTCTAGCTTAGGTACAATCACATTCAAGAGAATACACCTCTTAATCCTAGTGTCTAGGTGTGGGTCCGTAAGGATCTCGTCCATCTTGCCTATCTGAGCTTTACTCTTCCCAATCAACTTCGCTATGTGTGCGTCCCATGAGCACTCCTTCGAAATCTCTACTCCCAGGTACGTATACTTGTCTACTACCGGTAGTTCTTCCTCCCCCCATTTCCATTTGAATTGTACGGGATTTTTCTTATCTTCGTTACAGACCACTACTGCGCATTTTCCTACGTTCGCCGACAGTCTCCATTTTCGGGTGTATCCTACCGCCGCATCTATTTGTTCTTGCAACCCTTCTGGTGTTTCGGATACCCCCACGAAATCATCAGCAAACATCAGTCCGGACACACTCTTTCCCTCTACTTGGACTCCCTGTCTTACTGCTTCAACCGCCCTTATCAAATCGTTGATGTAAATCTTAAATAGAGTGGGTGACATCGTACAGCCCTGTGCGACTCCTTGGAGTATATCCACGTACTTCGAAATTTCCCCATCCAACATCACCGCACTTCTTGTGCATTCTGTCATCTTTTTCAACATCCTCCACATTTTCCCCCGGATGCCGATGTCCCACATCTTTTTCCACAATCCATTGCGCCATACGGTGTCGTAGGCTTTTTGTATATCGAGGAAGAAACAGTATGTCGTGCGCCCGGCGTCTTTCCTACCTTAGATGATTTTACTCAACGTATATACAATGGTCTACACAACTACGATCTGGTCTAAATCCAGCTTGTCCTTCGCTGATCTTTTGTTTCCCCTCCAACATGTCTCCCATTCTATTGTCTATCATCTTGCCAAACAGTTTCCCCACTGTGCTCAACAGGGTTATCCCTCTATAATTCCCCGGGTCAGGGGGGGGGGTACTCATAGTCGTGCATGCCGTAGTCGTTTGACCATTGACCTCGCATCCATACAAAGCCGGGACGGAGCACGCCGGGTTCTCACCGGACCAGGCTCTCACATCACCAAGCGTGAAGCGCCGTGAGGTATTTAGAGAGTCGCATGAAGGGTGAGCTGCATCCTGCTAAGGGTGTTCGGCATCTTGTGCTTACTTCCTTGCATACGAATGACAGCTGCGTATGACTTACTTTATTTTCTGGTGCTTTCACTTCCAGAGACAGTTGTAAGCACTGTGTAACTGCCTCGAGGGTGCTTGACCATTTGAACACAAACGTGGTGCGATCATCCCCCGTTGCGCGGAGTGAGGGTTCTCGACCCCGCACAACATGATCTCCTCGACCACCATTCATGGTTACCGCAAAACAAACCAGAGGTAAAAAAAAACGGTAGCCTGGTTGCCGAGTTCACGA